ATACGTTTATCAATCTGCGCTTTATCTTACTATTTTACTATCTTACAATCTAGTTATCTTACTTTCTTATTATCTTACCATCTTACAATCTTACTGTCTTATTATCTTACTATCCTACTATCTTATCTTACTATCTCACTATCTTACTATCTGGTATCTTACTGTCTTATTTTCTTACTATATTACTGTCTTATTATCTCACTGTCTTATTATCTTACTATCGTATTGTCTTACTATCTAACTAGCTTACTAGCTTACTGTTTTACTATCTTACTGTCTTATTACCTTACTATCTTACTATCTTATTATCTTACTGTCTTACTATCTTACTGTCTTACTATCTCATTATCTTACTATTTTATTATCTTACTATCTTATTGTCTTATTATCTTACTGTTTTACTATCTTACTATCTCACTATCTTACTGTCTTATTCTCTTACTGTCTTACTATCTCATTATCTTATTAACTTATTATCTTACTGTCTTACTACCTTATTATCTAATTAACGTATTATCTTACTATCTTACAATCCTTCTGTAAATCCACAAAAGTCTAGTCACATACCCACCTATTACTGTCTTACTATCTTACTATCTTATTATCTAATTAACTTATTGTCTTACCATCTCACTATCCTTCTGCTAATCCCAAAAAGGTCTAGTCACCCACCGGCTTACGTGTCTAACCATCTTACTATCTTGTTATCTTATTAACTTATTATCTTACTATCTTATTGTCCTTCTTTTAATCCCAAAAGGTCTAGTCACCTATCCACCTATTTATGTGTCCATCGTATCCCCCAGGTATCGCATCATGAGAACTTGCTGGAGAGAGGACCCTCGTCAGCGCCCGTCCTTTAGACAGCTAGAGGTCACCCTCGATCTTCTCATACAGAAAACGAAAAAAAAAGTACGTATTTTTGCACACCACCGTTTTCCAAGCTTCTCCTTCTTCTTCTTCTCCTTCTTCTTCTTCTTCTTCTTCTTCTTCTTCTTCTTCTTCTTCTTCTTCTTCT